CACTCTAGTAAACTCTCTACACACTAATGGAACTTGTCCAACCTCCAGGATCTCCAGGCTCTCCTCAGTTTTCGGCCAAAATCTTCTTTTAAAGTTGTGGACAAGCTTTCCCAAGAGTTGCCTAAGCACCCCTCCAAAATTTGTCCTCATCTAATGCCTAATTGGACATAACCGTCGAGCTTGCCGTCGGCGGCCTCAAGGGCGTAGTCGGCGGACCTTCTAAGTGAATTAATTCTGGAGTCTCGGGAAATTCTCGCCGTCGGTGTCGTTGGGCCGTTGGGCTCACCGTCGGTGTCCTAGTTCAATTCTTCACATTTTTGTCATTTTCACTCCAAATTCGCTCCTTTTTGCATCTTTTTGCTCCAATTACCCTAATTCATCATATTCATCATTCCTGCAATAAAACATCAAAAATACCTTTCTTTAAAGTGCAATATTATCAAAAACAGTATAAAATAGGTATGAAAATCTCAACATATTTTTCTTTGGTCACTCATCAACAAACAAGGCCTATAAAAATAACCAGGTCATTTTGATAGGGTCTAGACTATGTCTCAAGGACTAACCAAGCTATAAGGGCAAAGAGTAAATCTCTATATCTCAAACAAGTAGCAATTTGTCTACAATCAAGGCCAATGGGATAACATTAATGAGGTGTTAAAAGGAGAGAAAGGGTTAGGGATACCAAGTGGTAAGGAAAAGAAATCCTAATCAGGTAGAGATAATAGGATCATAATTCCATATATCCATCATTTCAAGCTATTAGGACCCTAAGTCTTTAGTCTTGAAGGTTTTCAACTCAACTCGACCAGAAGCCCCTTGTCAGCAACTCATGTGTTGCATAGTCCAAACAAAACTCTATAACCCTAAGGTAAGAGGAAAAAGACGTCTAAACCCTATGGCCATTTATAGGTAGAAGTAGTAGAAATGGGACTTATACCTGCCCAGTAAATGATGAGGAGGCCACTGGAAAGGAAAAGAAAAGAGAGGTCCAACTACATAGCCAAAACGCTCCCATAAAGAACTTATACTAACTCCCTAGGCAAACTAGATAACGACCTAAGTATAAATCATATACTTAACTACATGGGTTAAAGAAGCACAAGAGCTTCTCCTCAAGATATGTAAATATAATGCAATTATCTAAACAAATCCTAATATGGATGCCCTATTAGGTATAACTTTGGTTATATTCATGCAATGAAGCCTATTTTAAATCTGCCTCGAAGGCCTTGCAAGAAAATAAAAGCATATTTTGAAAAATTGAGATATTTTAATTTATTTCAATCTTCTATTATTAGTTTTTTTGAAGAAAAAACTATAATTTAAGGTTCTTAAAGAGCCTAAATTATATATTCATTGAGCATTTCAGACAAACTAACAAAAAAAAAGCAAAAATGACAACACTCAATAAAAATTAGACATGGACTTATGAATAAAAATAATAAACAAGTCAGGTGTAGCTGGGTTAGTAACATATTCTATAAAAACAAAAAGAACTGTCAAGCTCCACATAGACATGTCTCGTCCTAGTTCTATACAAGAATAAAAATCTACAATTAAGGTACATGACGCAAGTTAACAGCTCCTGGTCCCCGCATTAAGCGCCTTAGAACTCGTACCCTAAAAGAAAATACATAGTAAAAGTCCAAAAAAAACTTGGGATTAACATGGGTTATATCATGCAATGTGAAATAGGCCATGTCCGATGGGAGGAGGGCTAACCATGCCCGCAGAAAATGTGTTAGTTTGTGAAATAGGCCATGTCCGATGGGAGGGCTAACCATGCCCGCAGAAAATGTGTTAGTTTAAGTCATTAAGGCTCCTTTATGTTGGACATGACACCATGCAAGAACATCACCCTTAAATATACTAGTGCGCATGTTTAAATCCTAGTAAATGCATAAAAAGAATAAAAAAAGCCAAGCTAGGAGCAAACGATAAAAAATAACCGACGCATATGAAAAGCCTAGCTACACCCTAGCTCTAGTCTAGCAAGCATATAAAACAAGATGGCTTAGTCACATACAACTAAATGTGTGCAGGAAGTGTTGGTAAAGACTGACATATTTTTGATGGAGTCACCAACCCTTGCTCCATCCTAATGATTCAATAATATTAAGAGATGCAACTAAATGTAAGTTCTATGCAAGTAACAACTTTAAAAGATTGACCTTACAGATGGTCTAAGCTAAAATGCAAAAGTTTTAAAATAGATTTCAAAATATGATGCATATATGTAATAGAAATAAATTTTTAATACTTTTAAAATAAGTCCTAAGAAAACAAAAGCCTACGTGCCACCTATTAGACATCTTTGAACCTTAGCACATGCATACGCTTGTTGATCATGATGCAATAACTCACATTGTTCACCAAGATATCCTTGCAAGCAATGATCATTAAAACATCATGACCAATAATAGGCCGCTCATCTATGTGGGTAGATCTGCCATCAAGGCATCTTGGTAATGCATATTCAAGCATGCAAAGTGACAATGCAAACATGGCTTCACTCATATGACATATGCAGACTGGGTACATCAGGTAAATGACACCCAAAGAGGAATTTCACCTCACCCAAGAGGAAACCCAGCTTATACAAGTGACAAACAGATGTTGCACTAATGCAAAACAACATAGAAAAATGGTATGAGGTTTGATCGCTTCAGGTAGAAGACACCTTGAATAAGAACTACGCATCACCCAAGAGGCAATCAAACTAACTTATGCAAGTGGCAAGCACAATCAATGCATGATGAAAGAAGTCACACAAAGTGTGATCATGCAAGTGATAAACTCGTAGCTGAGCAAAATGATGTTATGAGTATCATGTGGTATGAATCACACACTAGAGGGTTTCAGATGTTAGAGGGCATGGCCTGTTATAGTTGATAATCATTCACCTAAGTGAACACATATTATGCATTAGGCAGATTCAGGGGCTAGATAGGATGATTCGTGCTAGGCACAACGTGACATGCCTAAAACACTCATATGTGATGTCGTAGGAAACAAGATAGCATGACCTTCATTAGGGAGAGTAACACACCGGGTAGGCTTGATATGCAAACCACCCCCTCACAGGACATATGAATGTTCAACATGAACATGTAGAAACATAAGCCATGTGAAGATCTCAAGCATACAGATATGACAACATACATGGGGACATGCAAAAGGACATGCAACAACATGTGAACATAAATGTGAGCATGCATATCAAAGTACACAATGACATGTAAAAATGTTAGCAAGTGTACAAAGTATTGTACCTGAGTGGAGCACAAATATCCAATATGAATGTATGGGGACATAAGCTCATAAATGCTCGTTAAGGTATTAGTACGAGAGCATAAGTGTATGTGTCAACGCCAAAAACTCAAAACAAATGCACATAAGAATGCAGTCATGCATCATTCAAATAATGTCGGCCAATAAAATGTCTGACCAGGCCGACCAGGGCGGTCCGTTGGTCAAAGGTGGTTAACCAATCAAACCAGCCCAAAATGACCAATCGAGGTTGTCAACAGTTCAAACAGGCCAAAAATGGTTGACCGGATCGATCAAGGAGGTTGACAGGACCAAGGTGGTCAACTATTCAAACTGACACAAAAATGACCAAACGGGGCATCGACCGACGAAAGCTAACCATAAATAGTTGATCGAACTAACCGAGATAGGTGGTCGATCGAGGACACATGCAAAAATAATTTTACTG